CTGAGCGGGAGCGTCAAAGTATTTACACAAGAAGCACTGAATTCTTACATTAGAACGTCAGTGCTCTTGTGCAAATTCAAGCGGCCAGTGTAGACAGCTGGCAAGTTTTTGTGCAAAATCTTGCCAGTCTAGACACATCCGAAGAATAATATGGCTGTATGGAAAAAGCTGAAAGGCTAGATCCTTAGCTGGTGCAAATTGGCATAATCCTATTGAATAAAACTATTCCTATTACCTGAAGCTTTAGCCTAATGTGTTTGAAATGAAACAGCAAACCTACTCCTGATTTCCTTTGTGAATTACTTTGAGGGCAATATCTGGAAGCTTTCAAGTCTTGCTCACTTCATCGTTACTAAAAAATGTGTACCTCACTGGTGCAAGCCTTTGAAAGAAATGAAAAATTAATTGGGACATCTTTGCAAGCGACATAGCAAATCAACAAACAAGCAGGGAAATAAACAACAATGAAGGGGAAGGTTACTTTAGGATGGAAAACATGTAAGGAAAGAAAACTGCTCATTTGTGGTTATAGCAATGAAAAAAACTTCCACAGTAGTTCTGAGTTATGTCTATTTTCTATCAAAGCTCAAACTGGGAAAAAATAAAATTAAAGTCAAACCCAGGTAAGTAATAACAAGTGGTTAGTGATGGCTATTTAGGGACTAGTGTGAAAAAGGCTAGTGACTTGAATTTAATTATATATGTCAGCAATACAAAAACTCCATTATAACTGGCAGTCATTCTGGCAGGCTCAGAAGAGATGCCAGGAAGTGTCTGAGCAAAGTTCCCCAGATCAGTATTGATAGAAATGTGAAGGGATAGTCTGAATAGAGGAACATATGCTGTGCCCCGTTAGGCAAAATGCCCACTGAAGTACATGAGAATTACAAAATTAGGCCTCATAGGTTTTTATGGTCTTCAGTTAACATTATCTTGAGTGTATCCCGTGTGCTTCTAAGTGCCATTTCTGTTGTCTCTATTCTTCTTCTTCCCTCTCTTTGATCTGTCAGGCAAAAATAACAACAAAACCCTCCATGTGACTTTCTCTTCCACGCTTGTTGTACATCTAATCCCTGACACAAATTAACTGTCCTTCCTGGGATGAAAGGGCAATTCAAACATGTCAATATGGGGCTTTTGTCAGAGGTGCCAGAGTTTTTGCACTAAACCAAGCCACACAGATTCACAGAGGGAAGTGCAGTCAAATATACCAGGCTAGAGAATGTAGGTCTGCACCTGGTTCTGGTAAAATGAGGTCACACAAACAGTATTTCCTCCTTAGATATCATCTTACATCTGCACACTTTAGACACTTGTGTGTTACTTCACACTCTAAGCTTCTAATGATAAATGGAAAAAATGAGTCTTTTCCATAATGAAGTGAGTGCTGTCTGTATAACACATTTAGCATCCTTCACAGTATGCAGAAAAGTAGGCTAAAGAGAAAACAGATCTAATAGAGATCATCCTAACTATTAGCTGGAGTAAAGACTGAGGGTAGGTCATAAAGTTACATATGTTAAAATATGGAGCCTTTAATGAATTGCATTTTTATTTTTAGTAGAGCTGCTCTCTATTTATCTGATGGTTATATACTTCTACCTAACACTGTACTTAGCACTTTCCATGTAAAATCAGTAGTAGGGCCTTGTATACATGAAAAGGTTAGGTTGTCCCAGTTACTTTGCACAGGGTATGAAAAATCCACACCCTGTACCAACATAGTTGACTTAATTATGTTGACTAAGTCAATCCCAGTACACATTTTTGTCACAATAAAACTGGGCTTTTAAAGGGATTTTTTCATTCAATTTCTTTGTACCTTTTGAAGGATTAGTGTAAGATAACTGCAGTCCAAACAAAATATGTAATGTGGCATATTCCTGTTAATAAATAAGCCAACTGCATTATACAGGTACTGGCAATAGATATAGGTTTTGGGCAAATACAGAAAATATTTTAGCTAATGAGAACAGGTTCTGCAACAGGGTTTTTTATTACTGTTGTTTTACCTGTTCTACAAGAGGAATGGTGTCGATGGCATTTCAGCTTTAGTCTGGCCACCCTTTAAAAAAAATGTTTTAAAGAATGATTCATACGTCTTGCACAGATCAGCACAGCTGGAATCAAATACTGGAGTGTTCAAGATAAAATCTTCGGTAGTTGTTACAAATCCAGGCTTAAAAGCCCGAGAAACTGGCCAATATGTCCTACTTGGTCTATTGCCACAGCAAAATACAATACAGGCAGTCCCCGGGTTACGTACAAGATAGGGACTGTAGGTTTGTTCTTAAGTTGAATCTGTATGTAAGTCGGAACTGGCGTCCAGATTCAGCCGCTGCTGAAACTGATCAGTTTCAACAGCGGC